TGAGAAGGTTGAAGAAGAAGAACTGCATGGCAAGAAAGGGTTGGAGGATTCAAACAAGAAAAGCACTTTCACTAAAATGGAAAAACAAATGCTGGAGAAACAAAAGGGTAGCATTCAGGGGGTGGGATTTTCGCRTGTGGAAGCAGTGAACAGTCTGGAGGGTGGCAGGTCCTTTGCACAGGTTGTAACCGGCGCCAATCTGATTTTTTTGAACAAGGAAAAGGGGTTGGTCCAAGGAAGAACCAAACCTAGACCTGATAAAACCAAACCGAGCTCGGGGTTGGACGTGCGTGACCTTCTTAAAAGTCATGTGAGCTCGCGGGTGTTTAAGAATGGGCCAAAGCAAAAGCCCATGCGGACAGTTAGTGGTGTTATTAAAGGCCCAAACAGGTCAGCGGGCCCGACCCAGTTTGTTAAAAAGGCGCGTGAGCTTTTAATGAACCACGTGACTGGGGTTTCGACTAAGATAGACAACGTTAACGGTCTATCATCGTCCCCAGTCGCGAGACAAGGGGGAATGCGCACAGCACCGGAAACCAGAGAAGAAGCGGGCTTTACAGTGGGTTTCCCGACGAAGTCTGAAGGAGCTTAGCCCCTTGCAACGCTCCTCAGAGACGCCGAAGCCAAGTTTCGCTAGGGGAAGAACTGAAGAGAAAAAAGAGAAGATTGAAGGCTGGGTGCAGGGCAGTGAAGGCGATGATGAATCGAAGGACCTTTCTGTTGATGGCACTAGCGTGGGCAGTGTAAACAACGAAGGTAGTTGTGCTGGAGGTGACATGGATGGGTGGAATATTGCAAGCTTATTTTAGGGTGAAGAGTGCAATCGGCTTATCTCATTCCCAAGACTACAGAGTGTGCAAGGATTATCAGAAGGGGCAAACCGAGAGAACCGGAAGCAGAGCAGGAACACGCCATCTAGGGGTGAACCAGGGGTAGAGTGGAAAGATCACCAGGTTGACCAAAGGACAGATGTACATCCCAACCAACTCAGGGAGATAGATGTTTACCAACCTCTGGAACAAGAGAGGGAGGCCGGGAGCAGTCCTTTTCTAGCTTGTCCATCAGTCCAAGTAACCATGTGATTTCGGTTTGTGCTACTAATGTGTCTCCTATGTCTTTGGTTCTAGATTCCGTTTTTGTTCCATGTCCTGTAGCCCATGAATATGCAGCCAAGCTAGCAGGCGGGCTCTCCGAGGAGGGGGAGAGGGGAAGGAAGGAATGTGGGAAGGTGCGGGAAGAAAGGTATAGGAGTGGAAAAATGTGGGAAATCATTGAAAGAGTGCTTAAGGAAGTGAAAAGGAAGTTGATCTAGAGGAGGGAAGGGGACGAAGGAAGAGAGGAGGGGTTAGTGAGAGGAGGGAAAGGAATGAGGGTAGAGATGGAGAGGATTATGGGGAGAGAGCAAGGAAGGAGGGAGGTAACATGAAAGGGAGGAAGGATGGAGAGGAAAGAACAGAGGTGGGACTAGAGGAGAGGAAGGAAGGGTAGGTGGACAGAGATGGAGAGGATTTTGTAGGAATTGTAGGGCTGGAGGACTCGGTGAGAAGACACGATAGCAAAATTTGTAGGGAAATTGGGATGTAGGCTAGAAGATTTGAATGAGTTGAAAGAAAGTTTACAGAAGAGGAAGAAGCAGATCATAACAAAGAAGAGGAGATTGAGTGAAGTAGAGAGATTGAAGAGAGATGTAGAAGGAGACAAGAAGCTCGGGGTAAAAGGAGATAGAAGGAAAGGGGGAAAGTAGTGGGTAGGTGGCAAGGGGTTTTAAAAAAGAAGCGGAATGAAGATTCTTAGTTGGAATGTGAGGGGAATTGGGAGTGCAAAGAAGAGAGCAACAATAAAAGAGGTAATAAGACGGTACGACCCAGACATTGTGTTGTTGCAAGAGTCAAAGAGAATGGAGTTTAATGACAAGTGGGCAAGGAGTGAATGGAAAGCTAGGGGGATTAGCTGGGTGGCGGCTCCATCGTGGGGTGCTTCCGGGGGGATTGTAACAATGTGGAAGAGGGATGTGGTTGAAGGTCTGGAGGAGTTGATCAGAAAGTACTCGGTTTCCATGAAGTTTAAGCAGCAAGAGGATGATTATATGTGGGTGCTCACAAATGTTTACGAACCGAATGACTACAGAGAGAGAAAGGAGTTGTGGGAGGAATTGGCTGATGTTAGAGGGTTGTGGGATGGGCCTTGGTGCATGGATGGGGATTTCAATGTGATCAGATTCTCGGAGGAGTCCAATAAGGTTATCCAGAGGGTGACAAAAAGCATGAGGTGTGGAGGTCCTACCCCCTTTAGATTTGAAAATATGTGGTTACATCATCTAGGGTTTCCTAACAAAGTGAGGGAGTGGTGGCACGAGTGTAACCCGCTGGTGGAATGGGAGGGGATGAGATTCCATAAAAAACTACAATTCTTGAAAGCAAGAATCAAGGAGTTGAATTTGATGGAGTTCGGGAGGATAGAAGAAAGAAAGGGAGACCTGATGGATAAGATTGAAAGCCTTGACTCTAAAGAGGAAAGGGGAGAATTTGGAGAGGAAGACAAGGATCTCAGGAGAGACTTGAGAAGACAGTTAGAGGACTGCCTGCACAAGGAGGAAATTAGCTGGAGGCAAAAATCTCGATGTAAATGGTTGCAAGAGGGAGACAGAAACACTAGGTATTTCAACTCTCTAGCAGATGGCAGGAGAAAGAAGAACTCTATTTCCAAATTGGTAGTAGATGGAGTTGAGTTAGTACAACAAGAGGAGATTGTCAGGGCCTGTGTGGAGCACTTCAAATCTATTCTAAGAAGGCCTGTGAGTAGAAGGATGTGGGTAGAAGGTTTAGATTGGCCAGATGTAGGGGTAGAGAACAGGAGAAGGTTGGAAAGAAGCTTTAATCTAGAAGAGATCAAGGAGGCTGTGTTTTCTATGGATAAAACAAAAGCTTCAGGGTCGAATGGGTTCACAATGGCTTTTTATCAGGATTGTTGGGATACCTTGAAAGATGATCTCTTGCGGGTGTTTGAGGAGTTTTTCAAGAGAGGAATTGTCAATCTAGGTGTGAACTCTACATTTATAGCCTTAATTCCAAAAAAGAAAGATGCATCCCACCCGAAGGATTTTAGGCCAATTAGCTTGGTTAATAGCTTGTATAAGATCATTGCAAAAGTGTTGTCTTTGAGGCTGAAGAAGGTACTGCCAGATATCATTGCACACT